GGGGGGGGGGGGGGGGGGCACGACACCTCAATGCTGGGGTGACGTGGGGGACCCATAGCTGGTGGCGGGTGCTGCTTGGTGCTCCTGGGAGCACCCAGAGGCCTCAATGCTGCCCGGTCTGTGTCGGTGCTGAAAGGCGTCAAAGGGCAAACCCTCAGCCTAGGGCCCCCCCACCGGGACTCTGGGTGACATCCCCGTGGGGCTTTGAGTGACATCCCCGTGGGGCTCTGGGTGACATCCACATGGCACTCTGGTTGCTACCACCATAGGGTCTTGGGTGCCATCCCCAAAGGGCTCTGGGTACCATCTCCACCGGGCTCTGGGTGACATCCCCGTGGGACTCACTCTGGGTGCCATCCCCACGGAGCTCTGGGTGGCTTCCCCGAAGGGCTCTGGGTGCCTTCCCCATGGGACTTGGTGCCATCCCCAAGGGGCTCTGGGTGCCATTCCCATGGAGGTCTGGGTGCTATCCCTGTCAGGCTCCAGGTGCCATCCCCAAGGGGCTTTGGGCACCATCCCTTGTGGAGGTCTGGGTGCTATCCCCAAGGGACTCTGGGCGCCATCCCCATCAGGCTCTGCTTGCCATCCCCACCGGGCCTTGGGTGCCATCCCTCTGGAGCTCTGGGTGCCATCCCCATGGCCACGCAGCCCCTGTGATGCAGGGGGACAAGCCAGCGCTGGCAGGGCTCTCGTCCCCGGGCTGCTCATGGGGTGAGCACGGCATTCCCTCCCCTCCTGTCTTTGTCTCCGTGCCGGGTGCTGGGCCCTTCCGCTGCGGGACCCCCCTCCCTGTCCCCCTTGGGGACCCAAAGGACCTTGGGGACTATGCCGGCGCCCATCTGGGTGCAACCCCAAGGGATGCCAGCGCTGCAGCCTGACGCAGGCTAACAACCCCGGGGGGGGGACGTGCACCTCTGAGCCCCAAGCAGACACTGAGACAGGCTACTTACGGTGACCCCGAGGGCCACGGGGGACACCTGAGCCTGCTCCGCCTGCCCCGAGCTGGCTCCGGTTACGGCCCGAATTATTCCTCCCGGCTGGAAGAAATGCCGTCAGCGCCGGCGGATCGGTGGCCATTACTAATGCATGATGCTCCGGCGGGAGACGGCTGTGCCCGACCTCCCGCAGCGGGGCTGGGGCCCCCCCTGAGCCACCTGAGCCCCTTGGGGAGGGCAGGAGGGACAGAGCCTCGTTTGGGGAAGGGTCTCGCTCCCTCTTCCCTTCATCTGGGCCTGGAACACCAGCTCAGGCCGGTGCTGGACATGCCTGTCCAACACAGCTGGTCAGGGCCTGGTAAACGCGCATCCGGCTGGAGCGTGAGCGCGGTGGGACTGGGGCTGTGGCCATGCTGCCAAATGGGTCTTGCCCAAGAAGGACCCCAGCACCCCTGCCACATCCCAGGTGACCAGGAGTGGTCCTGCAGAGGACGTTCACAGCTCGGTGCATGTTTGCCGACAAATGTCTCTGTTTTTCCCCATAACCGGTGATTCTGACCCATTTGCAGTCAGGAGGTCTTCCCCCCTCCCAGCCCTTGCTCCTTCCCAATTTTTAGCTCTTTTTGCCAAACTCCTCTCCTTTACACCCAGTTTTCCTCTCCCCAGCTGAGCGCGGTGATGCCAAACCTGGCAGCTTCACCCTTCGCCCACTCCAGACCAAGATCCCTTACAAAGCTGGGGTGGTCCAAGATCCCACCGGGGTGGGATGCTCATCCCTGTGCATCCTACCTCGGGGTGACACCCAGTGGGATGAGCGATGCCGACCACCTCCCCATCCCTGGGCTTCAACACCATTTTTAAGGTGGGATCTTGGGGCGGGAGGGATTTTGCCAGCACCAGCCTCGCCGGGGCCATAAAAACGTGCTGGGGAGGGCTCCCCGGCTAATGTACTTCAGTTGCGCTCCCTCATCCCTCCACATCAATATTGCATTATCGTTTCCATCCCCATCTGAGCCCGGCGAAGAGCCGTGGAAAGAAACCCAGCCCCGGCCGAGCCCCCGCACCGAGTGCCGCTGGGTCTCAGCGCCGGCAGGGCGGCTTTGCCCGACCCCCTCCACCTTTCCAGAGGCTCTTCCAGGTCTGTCTCCATTAAATATTCCGTT